AATTGAATTGATTCAAAAAAATATGAATTGAATGCAAAATTAAAATAAGGTTTGAATTCGAATATTTAAATTTTCAAAAACGCACACGTATACATCTAGTTAATTATTCCAATGAGGCACTGTGACTTTTTCGAAGAATGTCACTTTTCCACATTCTCATTTTCGCAAACACCTTTGATACATCAATTAAATTGATTCAAAGAAAAATATGAATTTGATGTAAGATTAAAATAAGGTTTGGATTTGTATATTTAAATATTAAAAAATACAAAAGTATGCATTTAAATAATTGATCCAATAAAATATTGTGACTTTTTAGAGAAAAATGACAAATGTCACTTTTTCATTCTCATTCTCGCAAACACCTTTGATGCATCAATTGAATTTATTCAAAAAAAATATTAATTGAATGTAAGATTAAAACAAAGTTTGAATTCGTACATTTAAATTTTTAAAAATATACATGTATGCATCTATCTAATTGATCCAATAAGGTACTGTGACTTTTTCAAACAAAAGTGACAAAATATTATTTTTTCGCATTCTCATTCTCTCAAACACCTTGTATATATTAATTGAATTGATTTAAAAAAATAAGATTGAATATAAGATTAAAACAAGGTTTGATTTTGTATATTTAAATTCTAAAAAACACACAAGTATGCATCTAGTTAATTGTTTCAATAAGATACTGCGACTTTTCAGAGAAAAATGACACAATTTCACTTTTTCATATTCTCATTCTCACAACTACCTTGGATATATCAATTGAATTGAGTTGATATATATATATATATGAATTGGATGCAAGATTAAAACAAGATTTGTTTGTTACTTATAACAAAGTCTTCACAAGTATTGACCTCACCAGTCGATGCAGTGACTCGCTTATTCAATTGATATTTACAGATGCACATGAGATGGTATAGGAATCTTGTTTCAACACTCTAATATAGCTTATTCCAATATATTACAATGTAAACATCCTAAAATGCATAAGTCTCAGAACCAGAAAGCAATCCAAATCTTCAACGCACAATCTGACTCTAATTTAGAAGGTCCTCAGATACATGGTGATCAATCAAACCTCCTCGCATCTTTCTTAACTAACCTCTTCCC